GGTTACGTAAAATTGAATGATATTTCTGAAGATGAACTTATATTATTGGGTGAAATTGACTTTTGACTTCTATTGATAGTTTATTACAATTTGCAACTTTATTACAAAACGGGTTGTGCGGAAAATTTCAAATTGTAATAAACTTTTCAACCCGTTTTGTAATATATGTTACAATTTGCATCAGAAATTATATATTTGTCATTATTTACTGAAATAATGCTTATTTTAATGAAATATTAATTAAAGTAACTTTGAAATGAAGTAGGTCACATGTACGTGTTACTTAATATTATATGATATTTCTGAAGATGAACTTATATTAGTGGGTAAAATTGACTTTTGACTTCTATTGATAGTTTATTACAATTTGCAACTTTATTACAAAACGGGTTGTGCGGAAAATTTCAAATTGTAATAAATTTGTAATAAATGTTACAATTTGCATCAGAAATGATATATTTGTCATTATTTACTGAAATAATGCTTATTTTAATGAAATATTAATTAAAGTAACTTTGAAATAAAGTAGGTCACATGTATGTGTTACTTAATATTATATGATATTTCTGAAGATGAACTTATATTATTGGGTACAATTGACTTTTGACTTCTGTTGATAGTTTATTACAATTTGCAACTTTATTACAAAACGGGTTGTGCGGAAAATTTCAAATTGTAATAAACTTTTCAACCCGTTTTGTAATAAATGTTACAATTTGCATCAGAAATGATATATTTGTCATTATTTACTGAAATAATGCTTATTTTAATGAAATATTAATAATAGTAACTTTAGCAATAAAGTAGGTCACATGTATGTGTTACTTAAAATTATATGATATTCCTGAAAATGAACTTATATTATTGGGTAAAATTGACTTTTGACTTCTATTGATAAATTATTACAATTTGCAACTTTATTACAAAACGGGTTGTGCGGAAAATTTCAAATTGTAATAAACTTTTCAACCCGTTTTGTAATAAATGTTACAATTTGCATCAGAAATGATATATTTGTCATTATTTACTGAAATAATGCTTATTTTAATGAAATATTAATTAAAGTAACTTTGAAATAAAGTAGGTCACATGTATGTGTTACTTAATATTATATGATATTTCTGAAGATGAACTTATATTAGTGGGTAAAATTGACTTTTGACTTCTATTGATAAATTATTACAATTTGCAACTTTATTACAAAACGGGTTGTGCGGAAAATTTCAAATTGTAATAAACTTTTCAACCCGTTTTGTAATAAATGTTACAATTTGCATCAGAAATGATATATTTGTCATTATTTACTGAAATAATGCTTATTTTAATGAAATATTAATTAAAGTAACTTTGAAATAAAGTAGGTCACATGTATGTGTTACTTAATATTATATGATATTTCTGAAGATGAACTTATATTATTGGGTACAATTGACTTTTGACTTCTGTTGATAGTTTATTACAATTTGCAACTTTATTACAAAACGGGTTGTGCGGAAAATTTCAAATTGTAATAAACTTTTCAACCCGTTTTGTAATAAATGTTACAATTTGCATCAGAAATGATATATTTGTCATTATTTACTGAAATAATGCTTATTTAAATGAAATATTAATTAAAGTAACTTTGAAATAAAGTAGGTCAGATGTATGTGTTACTTAATATTATATGATATTTCTGAAGATGAACTTATATTATTGGGTAAAATTGACTTTTGACTTCTATTGATAAATTATTACAATTTGCAACTTTATTACAAAACGGGTTGTGCGGAAAATTTCAAATTGTAATAAACTTTCCAACCCGTTTTGTAATAAATGTTACAATTTGCATCAGAAATGATATATTTGTCATTATTTACTGAAATAATGCTTATTTTAATGAAATATTAATAATAGTAACTTTAGCAATAAAGTAGGTCACATGTATGGGTTACTTAAAATTATATGATATTCCTGAAAATGAACTTATATTATTGGGTGAAATTGACTTTTGACTTCTATTGATAAATTATTACAATTTGCAACTTTATTACAAAACGGGTTGTGCGGAAAATTTCAAATTGTAATAAACTTTTCAACCCGTTTTGTAATAAATGTTACAATTTGCATCAGAAATGATATATTTGTCATTATTTACTGAAATAATGCTTATTTTAATGAAATATTAATTAAAGTAACTTTGAAATAAAGTAGGTCACATGTACGTGTTACTTAATATTATATGATATTTCTGAAGATGAACTTATATTAGTGGGTAAAATTGACTTTTGACTTCTATTGATAGTTTATTACAATTTGCAACTTTATTACAAAACGGGTTGTGCGGAAAATTTCAAATTGTAATAAACTTTTCAACCCGTTTTGTAATAAATGTTACAATTGCATCAGAAATGATATATTTGTCATTATTTACTGAAATAATGCTTATTTTAATGAAATATTAATAATAGTAACTTTAGCAATAAAGTAGGTCACATGTATGTGTTACTTAAAATTATATGATATTCCTGAAAATGAACTTATATTATTGGGTAAAATTGACTTTTGACTTCTATTGATAAATTATTACAATTTGCAACTTTATTACAAAACGGGTTGTGCGGAAAATTTCAAATTGTAATAAACTTTTCAACCCGTTTTGTAATAAATGTTACAATTTGCATCAGAAATGATATATTTGTCATTATTTACTGAAATAATGCTTATTTTAATGAACTATTAATTAAAGTAACTTTGAAATAAAGTAGGTCACATGTATGTGTTATTTAATATTATATGATATTTCTGAAGATGAACTTATATTATTGGGTACAATTGACTTTTGACTTCTGTTGATAGTTTATTACAATTTGCAACTTTATTACAAAACGGGTTGTGCGGAAAATTTCAAATTGTAATAAACTTTTCAACCCGTTTTGTAATAAATGTTACAATTTGCATCAGAAATGATATATTTGTCATTATTTACTGAAATAATGCTTATTTTAATGAAATATTAATAATACTAACTTTAGCAATAAAGTAGGTCACATGTATGTGTTACTTAAAATTATATGATATTCCTGAAAATGAACTTATATTATTGGGTGAAATTGACTTTTGACTTCTATTGATAAATTATTACAATTTGCAACTTTATTACAAAACGGGTTGTGCGGAAAATTTCAAATTGTAATAAACTTTTCAACCCGTTTTGTAATAAATGTTACAATTTGCATCAGAAATGATATATTTGTCATTATTTACTGAAATAATGCTTATTTTAATGAAATATTAATTAAAGTAACTTTGAAATAAAGTAGGTCACATGTATGTGTTACTTAATATTATATGATATTTCTGAAGATGAACTTATATTATTGGGTACAATTGACTTTTGACTTCTGTTGATAGTTTATTACAATTTGCAACTTTATTTCAAAACGGGTTGTGCGGAAAATTTCAAATTGTAATAAACTTTTCAACCCGTTTTGTAATAAATGTTACAATTTGCATCAGAAATGATATATTTGTCATTATTTACTGAAATAATGCTTATTTTAATGAAATATTAATTAAAGTAACTTTGAAATAAAGTAGGTCAGATGTATGTGTTACTTAATATTATATGATATTTCTGAAGATGAACTTATATTATTGGGTAAAATTGACTTTTGACTTCTGTTGATAGTTTATTACAATTTGCAACTTTATTACAAAACGGGTTGTGCGGAAAATTTCAAATTGTAATAAACTTTTCAACCCGTTTTGTAATAAATGTTACAATTTGCATCAGAAATGATATATTTGTCATTATTTACTGAAATAATGCTTATTTTAATGAAATATTAATAATAGTAACTTTAGCAATAAAGTAGGTCACATGTATGTGTTACTTAAAATTATATGATATTCCTGAAAATGAACTTATATTATTGGGTAAAATTGACTTTTGACTTCTATTGATAGTTTATTACAATTTGCAACTTTATTACAAAACGGGTTGTGCGGAAAATTTCAAATTGTAATAAACTTTTCAACCCGTTTTGTAATAAATGTTACAATTTGCATCAGAAATGATATATTTGTCATTATTTACTGAAATAATGCTTATTTTAATGAAATATTAATAATAGTAACTTTAGCAATAAAGTAGGTCACATGTATGTGTTACTTAAAATTATATGATATTTCTGAAGATGAACTTATATTAGTGGGTAAAATTGACTTTTGACTTCTATTGATAGTTTATTACAATTTGCAACTTTATTACAAAACGGGTTGTGCGGAAAATTTCAAATTGTAATAAACTTTTCAACCCGTTTTGTAATAAATGTTACAATTTGCATCAGAAATGATATATTTGTCATTATTTACTGAAATAATGCTTATTTTAATGAAATATTAATAATAGTAACTTTAGCAATAAAGTAGGTCACATGTATGTGTTACTTAAAATTATATGATATTTCTGAAGATGAACTTATATTAGTGGGTAAAATTGACTTTTGACTTCTATTGATAGTTTATTACAATTTGCAACTTTATTACAAAACGGGTTGTGCGGAAAATTTCAAATTGTAATAAACTTTTCAACCCGTTTTGTAATAAATGTTACAATTTGCATCAGAAATGATATATTTGTCATTATTTACTGAAATAATGCTTATTTTAATGAAATATTAATAATAGTAACTTTAGCAATAAAGTAGGTCACATGTATGTGTTACTTAAAATTATATGATATTTCTGAAGATGAACTTATATTAGTGGGTAAAATTGACTTTTGACTTCTATTGATAGTTTATTACAATTTGCAACTTTATTACAAAACGGGTTGTGCGGAAAATTTCAAATTGTAATAAACTTTTCAACCCGTTTTGTAATAATTATTACAATTTGCAACTTTATTACAAAACGGGTTGTGCGGAAAATTTCAAATTGTAATAAACTTTTCAACCCGTTTTGTAATAATTATTACAATTTGCAACTTTATTACAAAACGGGTTGTAACAAAGCTAGGCGAAGGTTTACCTCTGATAATTCTGATGATTGGCGCCGAACTGAAAGCAGAGGAAGGACTTACGCCAGCAGATATGGTTGAACTATTATGTCAATGTCGCCTAGAAACACTAAGCAATGAGTTTTACCCGGAGGAAGACCGAATAGGTACATGTAATATAATACCTTAATATTCACCTACATGTTAAAGTGTCTTTAAAACGGATGATGTAAATATCTTCATAATTTGATTAACTGTCGTCGGTATATAATAATCATAAAGAATAATTTATTAAATGTTTTAACTGCCTGACCGAAACTTTCATGTGTACAGAAGTATATATAGTTTAGCCTTATCTTAGATAATTATTCAGAACTGGTCTATTCACCTTTTCAAGTTGATGTGTACAGGACTTTTATACTGCGATTATCTGGGGAGTACCAATGTCATCTGATAGATTTAGGCTACATTCCTGGATCGTTTAATGCAGTGGAAGCTGGTGGTCTCCTAGGTTTGTTGAGTCTTTGTCAATTTAAGTCATTGTTTTAAGCCCCGCTATGCCTCAAAAGTGGTTTTATTTTAATTTTTCATACGCTTTTTATAACGGTGTTCTGTTAACGTTTCAAAAAAAGTTACACATTGGCCATTTATCTGAGCCATCTCCTCCTCCCGTTGCTATTTGGCAATAATTGCAGTTATAGTGATTAAGTATTTTGTATGAAAGTCAAAATACTAATTTTTTTACAGTTTGCTACTTTTTTGCAAATATTTTCACATTCAGCGCTTCTGTTTTAAGGTGATAACATCTAACGCGCTCTAAATCGACTATTTGAATGTTATAAACTCAAGGTTTTCATTCTTAAGAAGGAAAATATATGTTTCTGAGACATTATGTGTCTTGAAATATATCCAAAATTGTATAGGTTTATGAATTTCGTTATGTTAAATGGGCATTGAAATCCTCGATAGCTTCTTAAACAATTATTAATAATACTAAAATTACATGTCTGATTTTTTCAGTTCATATTTCTTATTGAAAAATACTGTTACAGTTTTAATAATATCTGTCCTCAAATTCGTGATAATGTTGACTCCATTTTTATTACAAAATGCGTACACGTTTTCAAGAAATGAAATTAAATTACAGGTATAGAGAGTGAGGCGATGGCAAAACAAACAGCAATTCTACCAATTAGACGAAGACACATGCTTAATTATGATTCTGAAAACAGTCGTTTTAACATTCAGGGTATTCTGCGTGAGGTGTTGAAGGCTGATTTTCTTATCAGAGATCTACCTGGTATTAACTGTTAATTTTCATAAGTACTAGTATTCAAAAACATATTTTTAAAACTTTGCTTATAAACTATAATTGAATACTCTTTGAGTATTTAAATCGACATTTTATATTTTGGCATTATCGTCCCGATTACTCAATGGAAAGCGACGATACGAACGTGCGGTTTTATAAAGTAACCAAAAAATATAAAACGTTTACCACAATATGCTTTCTGTGGTAATGAGTTCAACCGATCAATAGAAATGGTTATGTTGTCATAATTAAATGTAAAATTGAATACAGAAAACAAATGTCATTTACACTCGTGAATATACTCTGACAGACAAACAGACAGACAGATATTTTAAATTTCAGAGTTACGAAAGAAATACTGCAAAGTGTTTACAGAGGTTATAAAGAAAATATCAATACAAATGGGCACAGAGGAGTACACAAAAGCGTATTCAGAATTTGCCGTAGAACAACCAAATCTCCAGAAACTTCTAGGTGATGTTGAATACACTAGAGAAGATACTTACCACTTCTTCATTGAAATTGTATCGTCTTATACCACTGTCATAGAACGATTCATGACACGTATGTCAGATTTTTCACATGTATGAAAGCCAAATTGTTTCCTTTCCTGATATTACATTTTGTATCATAGATTATTGACATGTATAATTGTGTCTATTATTTGGTCGATTACATATTTAAAAGTTGTTTCAGCCGAAAAATATTACTTTCCTTTGGTAAATTATCAGGTTAGCTTTGATATCTTGAATTTGATTTCTGATTTTTCTAAAGCCCTTTCGTTGCACTGACAAAGAAACACTTGTTCTAGTCTCAACAGTTCAGTTTCAATTTTCGCAAGAGTTGTTCTTCACTTTTCAATATAACACTTTCTATAACAGACATATTTTTTGCTGCTTTCGTTTATGATAGTTAAGTTTATGCATGTTTTACTATGACTATCTTGTAATTTGAGCATTACATACAATTATAGATGAAAGTGATACAATTTATAGCTAAGTTTATACATGTATAACCATGTTTTTAAACGTATCATTCAAGTTTCTCCGCTTCTGTTTTTCTATGACTAACATCAAAATCATACAATTGTAGGTGAAAGTGATACATTTTATAATGCATGCCTAAGACTGACAGAGATGTATGGTAGATCAGTTGATAAAGCGGTAGTTCATTTAGCCGTTGGAAGTATAGAAACCAACACAAAAGTAGGTTTATATATGTAAGTTATCTTACTAGGCTGACAATAAGGGCTAAGATAAACAGAAAGTAGACTACGTCACCAATGTAACACAATGATCAAAATATTTAGTATTATTAGTAGTTTACGATTATCGCGAATCATCACTTTTAGTTTATTTTATTATTCTTTTACATGATAATTTAAATTGTAAACGTATTTCAAACAGAAAAAAAACTTCTTACGTTAATATAGTACGTAGTTAGAACAAATTTTGTTTGGTAAGGTATGCACATCAAGCAAATGAAATTACAACAGCATTTGTTTATCGTTTAAATTGGTCAGGCAGCAGAGTTTGTCAAACTATAAAATCGATTGAAACTTTCTTACCAACTGTTTTTACACATTACATAACACAAAATATATCCAGTTATTTCCCTTTTTCCAGGGAGACTTTTTACATGGTGCAAACAATTATCAATCAGCTCTGGAAGTGTTAGAGAAGATGGAGAAGTCTGTACATCTAGCATCAGCCTATCAGAAAATGGGTTGGAATATGCACAGACAAGGCTTAAACGTCGAAGCCATTCAGTACGTACAAAATATTTTTATCTGGAAAAAAATTGCTCAAAACAATTGCAATATCACGCGATAAAAATTTTAGCCATTTAGCCAATGGTCTTTATTTATAAAGATGCTTCTGGTATATATGTTATACATGTACATGGATTTGTTATATCCCTAAATGGCTATAATAGAATCGCATTGTCTCGTCAGTCGGTCTGTCCGTCCGTCTCCATTTTTAACTCGACTTTTTTGAAGAAAATAAAAAAGAGCTTCTGCTACATTCATGTTGTCGTTGACGCCGTCGTTGCTATTGCCGTTTGAAGACTTTAACGTTGGCCATATTTTTCTTATTTCACTATGGATTGCTTTCATACTAGGACACAACCAGACCTTCAAGCTGACCAGACTGGACTCGACTTTTATGTCATATGATATATATATTTATTACATTGTACTGGCAAATGTTTATTAACCTATACTTAACCTATACTTCCAATAAACTATCCTAGATTATATCATTTTAAATACACACACATACACACACACAGCAAATTATATCAGTGTAAATGATATAATCTAGGATAGTTTATTGGAATAAATGATATTGACCTTCAAGGTCAAATATTTGAATTTTACTTAAGTATGCTTTGCTATAACTTTCTTATTTATGAAAAGATATCCATCATTATTGGACATTATAATCCTTTATATAGATGATATTGATAATGAACTTTACTCATCAGTGACCTTAAAAGTCATATTAATGAATTTTGCTTTGTTTTTTGTCTTCTTCTATAACTGGCTGTAAATTTGTTGTTAATGAATGGTCTTAGTAGCATCTCCTACAACGCACATCAGCACCAGGAACGATGAATAAAAGCGGTGGTTATCCACGGCGCTTGTACGGAGATTGTGTGGCGTCTCTATCGCGCTTATACTGCGTGTGCACTTCGCTTTGACGGAGCTTTACTATTTCAGCGCAGTGTGAGGGACACGAGAGCGCCGTATGAGCGCCGTAAAAGCGCAATGGAAGGGCAAAGAACCGGTAGAAGCGCATCAATCAAAAGGACAAGACTTTATTGTAGACCGAAATGATTAATACTATGACCTTTAATTGACCTTAACCTCCAAGTTCAAATTATTGACTTTTACTTAAATTGTCATAACTTTGTTATGTGTTTATAGATTTGATATATAATTTGCCAAATAATACATTCGACTTAACCGACATGTTGAAATTTTCTCATATGGTCTTGACCTTTAATTGACCTTCAAGGTCAAATTATAAAACAATACTTAAATTGCCATAAATTTGTTGTTAATTTATGGAATTGATTCTTGGACAAAAGAACACTTATTACAAAACTGTTGATAATGATTAATTCAAATGTGATATTGACCATCAAGATCAAATATGAAACTTGAATTATAATTTGTTCAAGACATCTATGTTTCATATAAGTATTCTTTAAACTGTAATTTTCTTTCTTCAATGTGCTTGACTTAAGAATTTAGGAACATTCGAGCATGGTCCCTGTCTGGCAGTGGCTCTTTCTTCAGCGCAGTGTGAGGGACACGAGAGCGCCGTATGAGCGCCGTAAAAGCGCAGTGGAAGCGCAAAGAACCGGTAGAAGCGCATCAAGCAAAAGGACAAGACTTTATTGTAGACCGAAATGAATATGACCTTTAATTGACCTTAACCTCCAAGTTCAATTTATTGACTTGCTTAAATTGTCATTACTTTGTTCTCTGTGTATAGATTTAATATAAATTTGGTCAAATAATACATATGACAAAACCGACATGTTGAAATTTTCTCATATGGTCTTGACCTTTCATTGACCTTCAAGGTCAAGTTATAAAACTATACTTAAATTGACATAACTTATTTATGGAATGGATTCATTCTTGGACAAAATAACACTTATTACAAAACTGTTGATGATGATTAATTCAAATGTGACATTGACCATCAAGATCAAATATGAAACCGGTATTATAATTTGTTCAAGACATCTATGTTTCATATAAGTATTCTTTTAAACTGTAATTTTCTTTCTTCAATGTGCTTGACTTTAGAATTTAGGAAAATTCGAGGATGGTCCCTGTCTGGCAGTGGCTCTTTCTTCAGCGGATTTCTTCAAAAATGGCTCAGATGTCCATCTCAACAAGATAATGTTAAGATGTAAAGATAATGTGCAGAACCCATGCCACTTTTATGCTGGTATATATATAATCTATTCCTACAGGTATTATAAGAAGTCCCTTGACATCTCTGTATATGGAGGACCTGGATATGAGACATTTGCTATGCAATCGTTTAGTTCTATGGGGATATCACATACATATCTAGGTAACTGGTTTAAGAACATGATTATTATTTTAATTAAATTAAATGTGATTTTTATGACTTTCAAGGATATTTGATAATCTTACCTACGAACTCATGGTGACAATTTTTAATTGCCCAGCAGGTCAAAAATGTTTAAAAAAAAAAACGTTAATTAATAATTTGTTAAACGCATTGTTTTGCTTTTTACCTTCAGATGGAGAATATTAAATATCATATATCATTATCATGTGATTATCAGATCTTAAGGATTACTCGGTATTCAGGTGAGATGGATAAATAGTCTTGCTTATGGATATACGTGGTATGATCAAAAAGTTATCGGCCCGATATACTTTTGCCACTACACTGACATTTACACACGGTACGTCGATACCAATATCTTATTGAAGATTACTGACCGAGTAACACGCGGTTTTACACAGATTAAGTAACATAAAACACACTTTAATCAGTAGAGGGATGTGTCATTTAGACCAAATGGAGAAAGTTGAAATCAGAACCGTCATTATGTACCTCTGTAAAAAAGGGATGTCCCCCAAGCAAATCCATTAAAACTTCATGTATACACTTGGGAAAGAGTTCCCTTCCTATATCACTGTGAAAAAATGGGCTGCTGAATTTAAGAAGGGAGGGAGAGCATTGGAGATGATGAGCGACCTGAGCGGCCAAAAGAGGCTACCAACGATTAAACTGCCGAAGCTGTGCAGGATCTTGTCATGTGCGACAGAAGGCGAAGCCTGCGAAGCATTGCTAGGGAAGTGGGTATAAGATTTGGTTCAGTTCAGGCAATTGTGACTGCTGTATATGGCATGTCAAAGGTTTTCGCTAGATGGGTCCCCAGACAGTTGACTGACGACCAGAAACGGACCAGGCTTGACATTTCAAGATATCTTTTGTCTCGCTACGAGGATGAACCTGATTTTATCTACCGGATCGTAACTCAGGATGAAACATGGGTCCATCACTTCGATCCAGAATAAAAAAAAAACAGAGCATGCAGTGGAAGCACCCTGGCTCACCCCCTCCGAAGAAATTCAAGAGGGTGCCATCAGCAGGGAAGATGATGGCTTCAATTTTTTGGGATAGTCAGGGGATAATCATGATTGACTATTTTGAGCAAGGTCAGACCATAAACGGTACGTACTGTGCAGACGAATTGAGACGTCTGCGCCACAAAAAACGAGCGTAAAAGTAGGGACAAACTGACTTAAGGCGTTCTGCTCCTGCACGACAATGCGCCAGCTCACACATCCCAAGTTGCGATGGCTGATGCAACTGACTGCGGCCTTAAATTTTTCCCAATCCCCCATATTCTCCGGACTTGGCCCCCTCTGACTTCTATCTGTTTTCAAAACTGAAAGCAAAGCTTCGTGGTAGACGTTTGGAAGCAATGAAGGTGTCATGGAGGCGGGCAATGAGCTCTTTGTGGACAAAAATAGAGAGTTCAATTTTGAAGGGTCAAACAAACTGGAGCACAGGTGGGCAAAGTGCATTGATGTAGAGGGCGATTATAATGAAAAGTTAGACCATAAGTTGGATTCTCTTACTACCGGAAGTACATCGGGTCAAGAACTTTTTGATCAATCCTCGTATTACATTTTTAGGATAAAGCGAAATTAAATTCACAAATACCGGTATCATTTTTTTTTATTTATTTTTTTCCTCATTTGCCTTTTAAAAATTTTCCCGGATTTTTACATTTGGTACTACAGGAAATTTTTCGAGAGAACTGAAAAATAACCATTTTTACAATGTTTAAAACGACAGAAAGGGCTCAACCCTAGGAAAGATGCCATCCAATCATTGGGCCCGCTAGTTAAAAATATTGCTCTCTGAAAGGGAAACCAGAAAAGGAGATCGGTCAAGGCTCTTAGATTAATCAATCTTCAAGGGCTTTAGACATAAAACGGAGGTCGAAAGCACCAGTGACGTCATTGATTAATTCATTAAGCAACGTGGCCAACGCTTACAATGCATTAGAGAGATACAAAGAAGCACACGCGCTACTAGATGAAGCAATGACATTGATAAGCGAACAGAAAATACCGATTACGGACTATGAGGCCCTGATTTATAACACAAGAGGTAAAGTGTGTGCTAAGGCCGCAGATTTACAGCAAGCTGAAGAGGCATTTTCTAAGTCCGTTAAACTTAGCAAAGAAATTTCTATGAAAGGTTTCTTGCTGATGAAACGAATGGTTAGTTTAGCAGAAGTGCAAGAACGACAAGGTGCATATTCTAGATGTATGAAGACTATAAAAGAAGCTATCAAACTAAAGGAAGAATCTATTAAAAATCTTCCGCATAACACTACAGTAATCGAATGTCTCGAGTGTTTAGCGAAAGTCTACAAAGGTACTGATGACCGTTTGAACTATGTTCAGACTTTGTATGACTTGGAAACTGAATGTTTGAGGCTTGAACAAGTTTACAGGCAGAATTCCATTCAGAAACTTGATAAAATCAGCGAAACACTTTGGGGCATTAGGCAAAAAAAATGTAACATTTGAGCATCTGATATTGTGATGTATTATAAACTACATATGCGCGATCATAATGTAAAGTATAAGCCAAGGTTTCTTTTTCTTTAAAGGCAATTGTGATGGGATATCCACCATCTGTTACTTGTGCTTCTACTAAATGATTGAGAACATAAGACGAAATGGATCAATCTAAATTACATTGAGCTGACGTTATGTTATCCCAATGTGCTGTCAAATTTATTCTGTGTTAAGCTTGAAGAAAATCATTCTTTATGCGAAATCAGAAATTGATCTCCTTTTTGTCTGTGGGCTTGTAATGTTACATTCATCGGATGTTCATCTTAAGGGGACATTATTGTCATGTTTTCACTGTCAAGTTTAGGTGAATTAGTAACTCATGTATATTTCAAAATATTGAATATTATAATTGTGATTGACCAATAATTGGTAATGAAGAATGCTCAAAACACAATTTAAAAACGAACTAAATTATGAACATACCTCCCAATCTTTTTAAGAGTTAAGCGTAACCGTTACAGTTTGAACGATATTTATAGAACTTCCCGTTGGTCACATGGATTTTGATTAACATTATAATAAAATATAAAAAGAACTTAATGGCGGCAAAATGTCAAGCTTTATTTTAACCTTTTTACTGAACATGTACAATTGGGTGGGCATAATGTCACTTTTGCCAAAGAAAAGTTAGTAAGTTGACGGACATGCATTACTGGTACTTTAGTTATACATGTACAGCATTACTCTCGCTAAATTTTGCTACAACCTGTACTACATTACTGTCTCAAAAAGTGATACTTGTACCTCAATATACCCAACCTTTTGCTGAAAGAGCAAACTTGATTATACACTGAAGTTTATACATCTGGTGTAAAACATATTGAGCGACATCAAAATGGTCCGTCGGCGAAGCTTAATAGGAAAAGCACCAGATTACGAACCCAGAGTCGCTTGTTCGATCATTGGTCGAAGGAAATATTTTTTACATTAATACATATATTGTAAGTGTATGATATAGAAATTGTATTTACCATATGTTTCTACATGTTCATGTATTTGTAGTTTGAAAGTGAATATATATGCAAGAGCTGGTGAATATATGAAAGGTCTGCTACTGTGCCTAATAACTTCCAAAATAAGTTTCTAGTACTACAGTACTGAACCAAAATCTCTCACAGGTAATGATATTCCATATGTTTGCAAGTACTGGTACTTAGTGCTGATGGATATCTGATGTAAGATAAACCGGATAGAATGCAATATAGATTTATGGAATATTCAGGTTGTTAAAAGTATTTTTTTTTCTGAAGGTGCTCAAACCGTCCTTGTTTTTTTCATGAATGACTGACTAAGGGCAATTTTGATTAATACAGTTTTAACTAATTTCAAATTGAAATGTGAATATGGCTAGGAAGATGCAAAAATATTACAAGGTTTCTTTGTTTTACTACAGTTTAACAGTCATAAACTATTGTATTATATACCAAGCGTATTAATGTCTCTAACACATTATATAGATTTTATAATTCATTTCTTTTTAAAAATGTATTTTATACATACTTATGACATTCGTGTTTTATTGAGTTATAGAGTTGTGCAATAAAAGATGTGAAAAATACTGTTTTTTTTGTACTGGTATTTTGTCGTGATAACATGTACTTTCTATATATTAACTAGTGCGTATTTTATGAGAACCAAAACACTTCTTCTGGGAATCAAAATATGTATGTCAGGCTTGTGACAAGGGACGTCACTGCCAGAGAGAAAAGATCTATTATGTAAGGGAAGTAACTACAAATTAGTTAGTCTCACACAATATAAGGCTCAAAATTACGGAACTGACTCTGTAATATCGAAAAATAAGATTTGTACATTATTGAAATGTAAAATTGTTAACATTATCTATAGCCTAAGTGAGTTTAGACCTAATATCAGGAATATTAAATGGCATATTTTAAATATTTGACAAAGTACAAAGTATAATAAATTATGGCATTTTGAAATAGTGAACAATTTAGTTCTTACATGTATTATGTGTAATGTATGCGAAAGTTTTTTATAAAGAGTGTTTTATTAGAGACTTTATTTAAATTGATCTTCTGGACTTTCTAAGCTGGCTCTATTCTTTTTGATGACAAACTACACCTACATCTTATGCCAATCTCGAAAAAATATGTACACCCCCATCATGCCAAAAGGCCTCAGTGAAGCCTCTTTAAATTTTCAACCTGATATCAGCAAACTTTGATAATAAAGGGTTAAAAAAGCAATCGCATCATATCGGCCCTTTCCATCAAACTTCTATTTATAAAAATCGAGATGTTCCGATTGTACTAAAAGGCTCTCCTGATTAAAAACGAGTACGGGACTCTTCTTACCGGAATCTGTAGATTAAAAAACTGCATTTAAGTGCTTGATAATCTTTAGAGTAATCATTTCAAACAATGAATCCGGAAAAGTAGATTATTGAGGTGTGGATTGGCGCTGTCCGTTAAATGTTTATTTACCAATATCTAAATGTGGACTTAAATATAGGGTTTATCAAAATAATTTTTGTAACATTATGTATCTTTCATACGCATAATTTATGACAAAATATCGTCTTAAATATGATGTGTAAATAAACTAACATTATTCCATTAAAATCGTTTTAAAATAAACCAGAATTTTGTATCATATAAATTAAGCTTTGTATGATAATGGTTATGAGCCCTGAATAACACGACTATTTAATTTCACGTTTTCGTGTAAATCGATCGAATGAAACGGTAGATTTAACACCGAATTACTGAGTACACAAAAAAACTGTGATTGTGTTAAAGGAAAACGGAAGTAAATGCATGATAATATTACATGCATAATATGTTATCTTAGAGTAGGAAGAACAGTAACACTCACATTCTTGATGGATTAACCAGAACGACAAGTAAGTGTTCTGCAATAATTGAAACTGAAATTATCGAAACACAATATTTAATCTTAATTAGGTCCTAATTAGGATAACATTTTACAGAAACTGACTTTAACCCGACTTTTTTTTTAGCTTCCTTTCGCGTTTAAGTTATAAAAGTTGAAAAAATTTCTGAAAAGTGGTTATGAAAGTAGTAGAAATTTATATGATTTTTACCTATCTATAATTATAAAATCATAAACAAATAGCAATCAAAGGTAATTTAAACCGAAAGTAGGTATTCCCCGAGGTGAATATTTGTAAATGTGATTTTTCCCTATATGTATATCAGTAATTAACCGATTTATTTAAATAGAATTAACTACATTTTAAGCTTTGACCTTAACCACTGATGCATGTTTTTTTTAAATCGAAGATTTGTGACACATTAAAGTGTTTATAATCAACCAAATAGCATTTATACATTTTATAAAAGTACGGCACTAAACGGCTTTTATTAGTGGGTTTAAACTGCGCACACAGGTTACTTCCCTTTCAGTATGTAAACCAAAAAAACGTACATATTTAATCTTAGTTAATGTTATTATGTAAAACATTAATTGTCAATATATAACTATTTTTATTATTGCCGCTTTAAATATGAGTTCTAAAAGCAATTTGTATATTGTGACATCACATGATGTAAAGCAGCATGCCTCAAAATTCATGAAAATTTTCATGAAAAACTTGAAAATGTATTTGTCAAGTGAAAGAAAGTGATTTACACATAGCACAACACATCTTCAAGTCATGTATATTACAAAAGAGGTCAAATTATACAAAA